ATGTTGAGGAATTGTGGAAGCTGGCACCGTGAAAGAGATGGGCAAGAAGGAACAAAACATGCCATGCTCCTGCGGGTGTAATTGGTTTGAAAAGTTTTGAAGTTTCAGGTTCCATATATAGGGATTTAATTTGATCAGTCATCTTCCCTACAGGCACTCCCCCTGGCCGCCTCGTGTATTTATTGCTCTTCTGGGACGACGTAAAGTTTTAAGATGGGAAGCTGGGGAAACTGTATCCAGTGAGAACCGGATATGGTTCGGCCCCTTCCTAATTGAGATAGTGGCCGGTTTTCAGCAGATCTTGGCACTATAAAGGCAGCCATGGTCCATGCTAACTCCCATGCTCCTTGCTCAAGCTAGGTTTTAGTGGGAACCATGAGTACAGGTGTTTAAATGGTATTACATTAATGGAAGCTGGAAATTCAGTAGTCAGAATGCTTTGTTTTTGCTGCAGTTGCAAATCCCTATTTAACGTTTACTGGGAGCGATATGATTCAGAAAAGACTAGATTCCTTTGGAGAAGCTGCAGAGTATGGAAAGAAGTTCTGTGAATTACAGGTGCAATTGAGGGCGCACATACTGAACACTGATTCCTTCAAATTATTTGTTAGCATTCGTGTAATACTTCTATACTGAGACAGTATACAAATGTTAAAATAAAACAAGTTAATACTGCTCTCAGCACGTTGATAATGGCTGATACGGTATTCTGTTTGGAAATTTTAATAGTTTATTGTGACATAATCAGGACACGTGGCTTTCCCTTTTAAGTTAGACTTGTCTCCTTGATGTGTTCTTTTCATAAGTGAAATGGGTATGCATTTGTAAACGTAGGTTGATCTCGATGAGAAGATGTTGAAATACGAAGTGGCAATAATTGGCAAAACGTGTTATAGAGCCTTCGAGTCTGTCATAATTGGCCTTTAGAATTTCAACAATATTGGTGAATATTAGGAAAAAGGATTTGGTTCATATACTGACACTTTCTGAACACTTCAGAAGTTTTGTTTGGGAGGGTCAGCTTCTTAAGAGGCTTAAGAAATATCTTAAAAAGAATCAGGGAAACATTTTGTAAATGGTAATCCACTTTTGATTTAAGCTACATTTTCTGCTCTTTTAATGGGTGTTGTGTTTGGGAAATGCAAGAATGCTTGGTGTTTGTTGTGTCTGCAAACTTCCCAACTATGGTGAAATTCAGCACAAAGTGTAAGCTCTCTTTCTAATTTTATTCTAATTTGTGTCTTTGTATTGCAGTCTGTCCCAGGAATGTTCTGGAAGTGTTAGAAAATTTGCAGCATTGTATATAATATACCTTTTTGCCAAATCAATTGTTTTTATTATAATACAGTTTTTAATACTGAAAGAATGTGATTCTGCACCAGTTTTGCAATTGAATTAATTTCGGCATATTTAGAATATCTAAAATCTTTTTGGTTTTTTGGAGACACAGTTTCTCTGTGCAACAGCACTAGTTGTCCTGAACTAGCTCTTTAGACCAGGCTATGCTGGAACTCACAGAGATCTGCCTGCCTCTGCCTCACTCTTTTTAAAAGGCATTTAAAGCTTTAGCTATTTTTATTTTGTGAGTGTTTGCCTATCTATATGTATGTGCATTGTGACAATATCCAGTGACAGAGGCCAGAAGGAGGGAGGGCATGAGAGTCCCTGGAACTGGAGTTACAGATGGTTGCTGCTCTGTGGGTGGTGGGAACCGAGTATATTATTCTTAAATTATTTCCAGTGGATTCATTTACTTTATTTTATTCTTTAAGACAGGCTGTCATCCTAGTGTAGGATGGTTTGGAACTCACCACGTCATCCATGATACCCTTGATTTGTGGTGATCCCTCTCAGCCCCTCAGGTGCTGGGAAAATAGGCTTAAGAAGCCATCATCCATCTTCACTTTCTAGGTTCTAATAGGCTTTTAAAGAGGAATTTAAAGGTGAGAGCAAAGTTGAATGGAAAAATACAAATTCTCACACCAAATTTTTAAGACCAAGTGTGATTATTTGGGGAAAATTTTGTTTGGAAAGTCTATTAGTGACTTTCATTATATATTTAAAATATATTTAGAAAGAAACATAAAATTTGACCAAGTTATTCATATTCTAAAAAGTCTTCGATACTTATATTTTTATATATATCTTTGTTATTTTTGAGATTGTAATTTAATTACAAATAATTACATTAATTTCTCCCTCTTTGTTCCTCCAAACCCTCTCATATATACCTCCCTGAAGCTTTCAAATTTATAGTCTCTTTTTCATTATTACTGCATGTATATACATATTTGTATGTACATATATATTTCTTGATATAACCTGTTGAGTCATACTTAACTTTCATATTTTTTTTTTTTAGTGTTGTGAATCAAACTCAGGGCTTTCCAGTTGTTAGATAGATTTTCTACCACCAAGCTGTATGTCTCCCTTGGCAAATTTTCTAGTATGGTTTTAAAATTTACTACTGATTGATTATAAAAATTCACTCCTTTCTTCCTTTTTAAAATAAGATTTATTCTTCATGTCACAGTCTGAAGTGGTTGTAGGGGAAGCTCAGCTCCATGCAGTGTTCAGGGGACTCAGTTCCCTCTGTCTAGTGCAAAGGTTCCCTTGGAGTCAAACCACCCTTTCATGGGATGATTCATAACAGTATCAAAGTTACAGTTACGAAGTAGCAACAAAAATTTTAGGTTGGGGGTCACCACAACAAAAGGAATTGTTTTAAAGGGTCACATTGTTAGGAAGATTGAGAACCACTGTACTAATGGTTTGATCATCGTCTTTTCTATTTGATGTGTGTGTGTGTGTGTGTGTGTGTGCGCGCGCGCACGCATGTATGTGTGAAGTGTGATGCACACATGTGATGATGTTTGCTCACGTATGTGTGGATGTTCATGCCTGTGTGTATGGCACAAAAAAAAAGACTGTCAGGTATTCTCTTGTCACTTTTCATCTGATTCCTTTGAAGCCAGGTCTCCCTAAACCTTGAGATCTAATTCATTTTGGCTAGGCCAGCAGCCAGCACATATACTTGCTTGTTGTATTCCAATAAATAAATAATTCTGCCAAATAACAATATAATTTTCTTATCATAAAATTCTTACTAATTCTTTTGGTATAGGGATACCCTTATTGGTAGCAGGTGATTAATGTCTTGCTGATTTATTTATTTATTTATTTAAATCAAGATCTCAAGATGTTGCCCAAGATGAGGTTGAATTTTTGGTCTCAAGTGATTATCCTGTTTGAGAATCTTGAGTAGCTGGTATTATAGGGATGGCCTTATCACTGGCTCAGAAAACTATTTTGCTTAATTTTTTGTTTATTTACTTATTTGAGACAAACTCTTAGAGTGTGCCGCAGGTTGGTCTTGAGAACTCTGTCTTGAGTACTGGGATAGTAGGTGTGCGTCACGTGTTGAGAACACTGGGATAGTAGGTGTGCGTCACGTGTTGAGAATACTGGGATAGTAGGTGTGCGTCACGTGTTGAGCTCAGGTGCTGCTTTAGGACAGGGCTTAAACTTTTTCCACTCTTTGTTACAAAGGTGTCAAACACATAAGCATATAAATCAGACAATTACTGATAATCACTCATAAAGAAAATGTATTTTCAACAGTTTATATATATATATATATAAAATTAAAGACAAATTGCGAATTAAAATAGATTTATTTTTATCTAAGGAATTAAATCTTGGCTGATTATTTGATACTGGTTTATAGTTGTCAATGGTGAGAATGTTTTTCGTGGGACAGTCAAGGTAGGAAAAAAGGCAAATGCAAGTTGCATCCATAAGAATAACATAAATCGCTTTTCAGCTGTGCATACACAGCAGATGTGTTTAGTTACTGTTGTCTGATGTGATGCTGCACATCAGTGCAGGTTATGGTGTGCTGTTTGAGTGTGGAGACACTTGCAGGTGTAGTGCCATGGAATCACGTGCAGTGTGTTTTGTTTTAGAGGAAGTTAAAAATAGTTGTTAGAACAGCTTAATGATTATCTTTTTTTAAATATGTTCACACTTTCAGCAGGATTTGAGGCATTTAGGTGATTGTATTTTTTTTTAAATGGGTTAATAAAAGAACATCACGGGGGAAAATAGATGAGATATTGTTCAGAGAAATAAGATAAAAATTAGTTTATCGAGATGTGTAGGTAACGTTTTCAGATTCATAGTATAGTTGTTTGAAGAATTAAAATACTGAAAGTAAATGGAAGAATGGCATTGAAATTTTTTAACATAATCTGGTTGGAAAGTTTGATGCTTACTTTGTAGTGTTGATGGTTGCTATTGTATTCATGATACAATAATCATTAATGACAGAGGGAACCCTGGCAAGTATAGAAGCAAATTCTGAGTAGCATCTTAGGTTCACATAACTACGTAACGGTAGATCTGAGATGGAATCCTGTCTCATAAATTTTCAGATTTATTTATATTCAAAAAATTTTCATAACTGTTGACTTCATTTTGTTTTTGAGGGGTAGCAAGGCAACGTCTTAGTACCCCAAATTTACTAATCATTCGCGTACGCACGTGCGCGCATACATGCACACCCCCCCCCCACTCCCCAC